AATTTATCATTGGATGTTTTGAAGGCTATAATCACTTTCAATTTAATTGTTAGTAAACAAAATTAACTTGTTTGTTATAATTAAAATTTGAAGGTTATAATCAAACATAGGTCAACAATTTCTGTATCCAAAACAGTAAGTAGTTGAGTTGTAATAAGAGTCAATGTATTCTGGGGTGGTAGAGTCCTAAACGGAGTTGGAAACAAGTCAAGAAGATAAAAAAACGAGATCCATCCTCACTTCTCCCCAACTGGCATTGGAGTGTCTATAACAAAAAACCTGCCATTCGTTGGCTATGATGTTGGCATTCGAGCGACGGCTCATCTAGCTGAATATTTCGTAATTTTTACACAATTTTCTATTATATTTTAAATCATATACTTCATTTCAAAATGTCAAAATCTCAAAATACCAAATAAACCATTTCTAGTTATTTGTCAAAGTTCTAAATAACTCTAGGAAGGTTTGGAGTTGGTCCTAGAGTGCACAATTGAAGCGTTTTTTTGGTGCTTTTAGGTTGGAGGTCAGAGTCCATTAATATTTAGTTGTATCTGAGCTAATACTATAATTTGTTCTTTTATAGTGAATTACTATTGGTAAGTTTGACCATAGATTTTTGCTCTTGAAGAGTTCTTCAAGGGGGTTTTGTAAAAATAAAAACAGCTTACGAAATGAAGGGACTATACAAGAACAAAAGAGATCCGTCGAAGAAGATCTTCATAAACAAAATCTTGATGTTATTTACATTTCAATATTATTTTATTTTTTCAAATTGCTATCTAGGGTTTAGATAAGCATGATTTAATTCACCCGAATTCGTTAATTGTGACTTGTTGCAATTAATAACTTGGTAAATTTAAATTCTGCGTATTAATACTCCTATTCATCACTCTCTAGGTGTTAGTTAAGTTGAACTTCGTTATTTCAATGTCAAATTAGATTGACACAAAATGGAAGTAGAAATACGAAGGCTTGCGAAAGGTAGTAGAAGAACTCACTTCCAATTCAGAATATTTGGTGAAGATGAAAGAAATGAGCTACGTAGAAATTGTGAAACACGGGAAACTTTTTCCTTTCTTGGAAATACACAATATTATTTAAATTAATTAACAACTAGACTTTTAATTTAAAATATAGAATATTATTTAATCTTTGAATACATGTGAAACTTTGTTAATAATTGACAATTATAATTTTATTATTGGAAATAGATAGTAACTAGTATTAAATAATTGTAATGCGTACTCTTTTGTGCATTCCATAAGAAGGAGTAACTCTACAAGGAACTGAATGTTATCATTCATAACAATATGCTTCTTTTATCAAGAAAGTTAGATCTTCATTCAAAAGGAGAATTCAAAATGCAGAACGTTGTCAAAAATTCATTTGATACTCTTAAAGTTGTTGGACTGCTTAATGTTGTTAATCTATAAGTATATGAACCAGAGTTGGAGAGTGTTATTTTTAATGATAATAAAGAAGTTGATGTTAAATAAATGAAATTGGGATAATTAAGATATAAGATAAAATGTTTTAGTATTTTATTTTATTGTTATTATTATGCTTTTGTTCTAATGATTTTTTATATTAATGAAATTGTGTTAAATTCTATAACACGTATCCTAATTTTTTTTTTTTTAAAAGTAATATTGATGTACCCACATGTACCATACCATATTGTATTTGAATTACATATCCATAGCCGTACTTCTTAGATCTCAGGAACTAGGACGGGTGGCATTCGCAAGATTACACTAGCTAGGAAAATTTATAATAACTCGGATATTATCTCTCACTTCGACATTCATGCATGGGTAATAGTATCACAAAATTGTTATGATCAAGAAACCCTCAAATGCCTTCTACATTCCATAAGAGGCCTTGATCATCAATCAAGTCAAGAGAGCAAAGAAAAATTAGCTAAGTTACAATGCAAAAAGAGTCTAAAATAAGGCGAAGTCTTAATACAATAGACCCAACAAATAATGAAGTGTTTGAGTTAGAATATGAGAGAAAAAACTGCCAAAATAGAGAACTCTTTTCCTAATCGGTCTTGAATTCCTTCAAGATTTCTATAAGGCATATTACTAACTCCCAATAGAACTCCAAATAGAATTTGAGTCACACCCAAACTCTAACACAGGCTTAATCTGAGATTGAAAGTTAAGGAAGATTTCAAAATTCTAAAAGAAATCTGGGTAGCTACAAATACAGGCTAAAGTCAATTTGATGGAACCAAACACTAGCTAGCACAAATAGGATGCACACTGGTAATGGCAAGTAAAAGAACAATGCCAATGAATTCAAAAGAGAATGCTATAACTACGGTAAGATGGGTCATATAACTAAAGATTGTCAAAAGTAAAACAAAAAGGACCAAAACCACTTGATTGAGGAAGACAAATTGCTAACAGAAATTCCGAACTAAAGCTCTCAGCCGCAATATTTAATTGAATTTCCACCTAGGAAACTTATCGAGGGACGAAAAGTAAATTCATATTACAATTTGGCGTAAATGATTTATTTTTTATTTTTTTCAACTCGATTAATCAATGTTCAGTTACTTTGTGTTTGACCTTGATTAATCGTTTATCAGAAATGGTTTTGAGCAAGTGAATGTCAAATAAAAATGTCGTTGTGAAGGAGAACGCATTCGATCCTACTATTATTTTTGGTCATAATTGACCACATGTAACTTTGAGTTAACAATTTTTCCAACAACTCGTGATTTTTACGTCTATGATTAAGAAAAGAATGTAATATGGACCACTTGAAAAATTTGAACTTGGCTTTGAATAGTGTAAATGAAACTTCCAAGGGCTTTCAATTAACAAATGTAAAATTGCCTATAATGATTTATATTAATTAATTAAAGTTTCTTATATTAAATTTAGTTTATTGCTTCCATGCACTGGCTTTTAATTAAATACTCACTCAGTCTCATTTATATAGGCTTACATTCTTTTTTCCTGTCTCAATTATATAGTTTTGTTTTGTTTTTTTTTATTAAGAATGTTTTGCTTTGTTTATTTACTAATACATCATTATTTATTTTGTCTAGTTATAACCAATTTTTCTCAATTAATCTTGAAAATGTACAAATCTAAATAAAAGTGGAGTAGGAAAGTTTTGACAAAAATTACTTTTTCAACAATATTAAATATGATTTCTTAATCCGTATGAAAAATAAAATCAGTCTATATAAATGAGACGGAGGAAGTATTATAAACTTGCTTACAGTGGTTTAAGTTAATTAATTACGACATCCCCAGTTGTATATATTAAATAGTTTATTGCATTCTCCCGAGAAATTTTCCCATCTGTAAGCAGCCACCCAGTGATATTTTGAAAATTCAAATTTTCATGTTCCCAATGGATAAATTTACCATTTTCTTTGAAAACTCTAATATCTTTTGTTATGAAGGTAAATGTACCCCTAACGTTTAATAAATAAATAAGAATGGAAACAAATATTAGTAAAAGAAAAGCAAAACTCATCCAGCCTCCAATAATAGTCATATAATGAATTTCGTTTTCGTTTATACTTAAATTGACAATAGATAATCCTAAATTGTTGAACAATCTCTTCCGGGTGAAGTTAAACATATATTCGTATATGATCTAAAATATTTCTATTCGAATTCGAATATGTAAAAGTATATTCAACAATAAGATTATTCAATTTGATTGCACAAAACATACAAAATTATTCCTAATTCTATGACTTTAAGCTAGTTGCCAATCATGAGCTATACACTTACTTTGAATCTCCTAAAAATAGTCATTAATATGTCTAAAAGTTTATCATTCATTCAAATGGAAATTAAGACATTCTTCTCTCTCTCTCTCTCTCTCTCTCTCTCTCTCTCTCAGAGTTGGGATTCAGATGTCAAATCAAAATAAAAGAAGGAAAATGAGTAACAATGCATGAGATGTGGGTTTCTCCACAAAAATTGCAGGTTGAACCCTTATTTGTACATGAAACACTTACCATTTTCTTCTATAATTGTGAATAGCCCCTCGGAAGGCCACTAATTTGCAATATATTTATCTACTATTTTAACTTTTGACTTAACAAAATGGATTGAAATATATGAGATATATAGCCTCCATTAATACAAATAATGACAAAGTTGAATCTAATTTTTACGATTGTAGTCTTATAAAGGTTTACGATTGCAAGCCCCTAATTTTTGCTCTCGATTCAATAAGATTCCTGTCTTCTTCTTTTGTTTTGGCTCGAACCTCTTTTTAATTGCATTTTTAGTTCTTCATTTTTTTTTTGTACAATTAAATCCTTCACATTCCAAGGTCATTAATCATTGATTTGATGCAAGTTTAAACGTTTGTAATTTTGTATTCAAACTTTTCAATTGTTGAATTTAACACATGAAACTTATGAATTTCTTCTGAATCCTCTATTTATTCTTGTAATTGATCATATACGCTCCAGCTAATCTTAAAATTTCCAAAATCAAATCCATTTACACACCAATTTCACCTTTTTCAAGCCAGTGGCATTTAAGCTGAGATTTTTCCTAATACTAAAATAAGTTACACAAATTAACTAAATATTTGCTCAGTATAGTAATAAATAAATAAAAATAGAAGTCCAAATAAAAGCATAAAACGCAATTAACCTTGTGACATAGAGAGGATATACAGTATTTTTCGGCTTTTTTAAATTGCAAAATTTTATAACATGTGTGTCTTCACACATAATTTTACCTAATAACACAAGAATCAATTCTGTTGGTCATGAAATTACAATTAAAATGAAGTTTAGTGCAAAATTAATCCACTAGCAACATACACATCCTGACACTAAGATGGCAAACAAATTTCGTGTTTAAAAGGTTAAAGAGAGGTTTCGTTTAACTAACGTCTGAAAATTATCTATGTTATAAAGAACATAACTATATAATATTATAATCTTGCCAATATTCAATTAAAAAACAGGAACTTGCACATGATGTGCTGTAGGTTTTATTGCTTTTTATTGCCTAAAATCCATTTTTTCTCAGAGTTGCCTTAATCCTTTTCACATTGCCTAACCTTCGTATTCTATAGAGATCTCAAAGTTTCCTTAAATCCTTTTGAGACATTGCCTAGACTCCTCTTTCCATTGAGATGGCTTATGCATCTCTACTTTCACTTGCTCAAACACTAGAGCAGATCCTGCATCCTCAGGATCAATCTCTAAATCTTCATCATACAGAGCAACAGATCATGAGATGTCTCCATGAAAAGGTTAACTTCTTGCTGGATTTTCTGGATGTTATTTCACCAAAAAGTAGTGAGAATATTAGAGATTTGGAAGGAAGAATCAGAGATGCAGCGTATGAAGCGGAAGATACAATTGAATCCAATATGTCGAATCAGATTGTCTCAGAGTTGGAGCAGAAATACAATGGCTTGCAGAAGGTATTACAAGAACTCGCTTCCATTTCAGAAGATTTGGTGAAAATGAAGGAATGGAACGACATAGAAATTGTGAAACCAAGGAACACATATCCTTCTGCTCGTTCCACGAACAGGAGTGCTGTTGTGGGAATTAGAGACGAGATTGAGTGTGTTGTGAATAAGCTGACGCGTTCGTCCTCAGATCTCAGTATCATCTCAGTTGTTGGGATGCCAGGCCTTGGCAAGACTACTGTAGCAAGAAAAGTTTATAAGGAACCGAACATTGCATCTCACTTCGATGTTTGTGCATGGGCAACGGTATCACAAAATTATTTTGAACAAGAGGTACTCAGCCGCCTTCTTCATTCCATAAGAAACCTCAATCATGAATCAAACCAAGAGAGCATAGAAAAATTAGCTGAGAATTTATATAAAAGTTTGAAGGACAAGAGATACCTCATTGTCCTGGACGATGTGTGGGATAAAGAGATTGTGTTAAAAGTCAAAAATTGGCTTCCACATGACTGTATTGGAAGCCGGATCTTGTTGACCAATCGACATAAAAATATAGCCAGTTATGTTGATCCTAATTGCTACGTTCATCAGATGAGATTTCTAAGTGATTATGAAAGCTGGAGTCTGTTGCAACATTTGGTGTTTGGTGAAGAAAGATGTCCTCCTGAATTGGTCAAAATCGGACGGATGATTTCTAGGAACTGCGGTGGAATTCCACTTCCACTTATCTTGATCGGTGGTGTCCTGTACAAAGCAGAGAGGACGCAAAGTTACTGGATCTATGTTGAAGAACATACTAATACTGGACTTTCCATCGAAGTACTGAACCTACTGAGCTTCGTAACTTTCAGTTATAACCAATTGCCCCATCATTTGAGAGCATGTTTTCTTTATATGGGTGTTCTCCCTGAAGATTATGAGATCCGTAGATCCAAACTCATCAAGTTATGGGTTGCCAATAGATTTATAAAGCCAGATAGATCGAAAAGCTTGGAAGAGGTGGCAGAGGATTATCTAAATGATCTTGTCGATAGAAATCTAATTATGGTTCGTGGGTGGTGTTATGGAGGTGAAGTAAAAACCTGCTGCATCCATGATATCTTGAGGGACTTCTGCCAGACGAAAACTAAGGAGAAATTTAATTCGGATGTTAAGAATCTTCCAGACGTCCATGACAATCTTCGTCAAGTTAGTATGCTCACAGAACTGAAGAATCAAATCCCCAAATTTGATCTTGCAAACAATCGTGATTTGCGTGTCCGCTCTGTTACATATTATTTTCATAATAGCCCGCATGATATACTTTTTGTCAAGAGTTTTCAGCTGCTGAGGATATTGGATGCACTCACAATATGGTTTGACAAGTTTCCTGTTGAAATAGTAGAACTGGAGACTTTGAGGTTTATTGCTTTGACCTACTGGGCAAAGCATAGGATTCCTTCGTCAATATCCAAACTTCGCAATCTGGAGACGTTAATTCTTAATCCAGGGAAACTGAGATCCATTTTTAATACATCATTCCTACCACTGGAAATCTGGAAGATGTCACGATTGAGGCATCTCTTGTTCGTGAGGAGTTTCTTGCCTTATCCTACCGATGCACTAAATGGGGGAACTTTTGTGTCCTTGGAAAACCTACAAACGCTTACCAATGTCATAAACTTCCGATGGACAGAGGAGGTCATTCAAATGATGCCGAACCTGAAGAAATTGGTAATTTCATACGAGCATGATGGGCGAACTGAGTGGTCATCCTACTGTTTTGACAATTTTGTCCATCTTCTTCAACTTGAAGTTTTGAAATGCTTCTTTCTTGGGAAATCTTATATAAAATATCAGGATCCTCTACCAGTGAACTTTGCTTTCCCACAAAAACTCAGAAGGTTAACTTTGAGTGGCTGCAGACTATCTTGGAAAAGTATGACTGTTGTTGGTTCGTTGTCCAAACTCGAAGTGCTGAAACTCAAATACCATGCCTTTGAAGGCCCTCTTTGGGAATCAAATGATGGGGAATTTCGTCGATTAAAATTGCTGCTCATACATATGACTGATCTGGAGCACTGGAAAGTTGATGAAACGCACTTCCCAAGTCTTGAGCGCCTCAGTCTTCAGTACTGCTACGACCTGGCGGAGATCCCTTCTGGAATTGGAAAAATACCAACTCTTCAAAAAATCGAGTTGTGTGAATGTAGCACATCTGTTGTGACTTCAGCAAAGTTCATAGAAGAAGAAAAAACACGCTTTGGAAATAATGGATTTCAGGTTCTTCTCTTCCTTCTATGTCTTAAACTTTACAGTCAATGTTGTAATAAAGGTAGTATAATTACATAACTGGAAATCTACTTCATATAGTTATGGCTGCAGCCTTACATAGGCTCCTTTACTTTGCCCATCTCTATTAATAGTTGACTTTACCAAATATGAAGTTGGCAAAATCTTTTAGAGAAAATCAAAATAAGTGAAACAGATATTTTTAATAAACTAGATTTTCTAACTGTATAAATTTCTGGTTAAATTTTGGAGTCTCTATTCAAAATGGGAGAATATAAAGATAGATTCTTGAAGTTACAAGACTAAAAGACTAAGAGAATATAAGTTCTTGAAATGAGTTGAATATTATGATACCAATTAGCCATACATTTTTCTTGACTTTAATTGCTCATACATCTTTATGCTAATATTGTCATTGTTTGGAGCTTCACCGATAGGTTGTGGCATTGTGATGAAAGATAAGGATACTCATGTTTCTAGCCAACAAAGTGGAAAAGAAGACAAAGTTGCAATGTTATTTCTAGTGTTTTATTCAGATTATGTTGTTGTTGTTGTACATTATTGACACATTGGATGTCAAAAATAAATGAATATTGGACATGTGCTTTTGTAAGTGTTTCATTGTAGTATTTTGATGGCAATCCGCAGCAGTTACTTCTTTGTTGTTTCTACAAAATATTGAGTACTTTTCTTTTCTTTTTTTTTTTCTCTCTTTTGAAGTTGAATGCTCAAAGTCCAAGTACATTATCCTAAATTGTGGTTTGAATTTTCCAGTAACTATAGCATTATTTGTTATGGTAACTATCCCTCTTATATTATCTTTTACGTGTTATTCGTCAACGCTTATTTGAAGTGATGTTATTGCATGGTTACTGTAAGTTAGTTGGACATCATCATTGTACGCTCCACCTTTTGGTCCAAATGCCAAATCTGTTATTGAAATAGAAAATCCGAATGTAGCAGTTATTGGTCTTAAAAAGTTCAAATATTCAATAAAAAACAAAAGTCAAAATTTTTACGTGTAGCATTTTGAGAATCTAATTAAACGAGTAAATAGGATTACATCTCTACCCATGCTGTTTCTTTGATTCTCTAAACAATTGAACAAGAAACATCAATCAATTTGAATGACTCAATCCTTGGATCAAATACATTGTTTCTAATCAATCAATGTTCCCCCATGTTCTTCAAGAACAACTACGCTGATGGGTACAAGCTCCACATGTATCAGCTTAAATTGAATAAAGCCACTTGGTCAGATTTAAAAACAGGGAGGAAAAAGACAGATTGATGTACCAGAAAATGATTGAGTATTTTTGTTATAATTTTTCAGATTGTCCAATCATGCATCTGTCAAATCTGAATTTGAATCTGGATTCGAGCTTGGACATATAGCATGATTGGCTTAAATTAGGTCAATGGGTGCAAAATACACAATACACACTTTGGCATGTGTCTCGTTAATAGGGCTTGAGTTTTATGAAAAAAAAAAAAAAACCAACACAAGGGACTTGTTTATAGACAACAATGGTACTAAAAAAACCCTAGCCCAAGTGCTATGATCCACTCCCATTTCTGTATTGCTCAAATAAGTCTACCTCCTCCACGATGGCCCAGGGCAGGGTCGGTGGGAGCCCTTAAGGTTGTGGTTCAACCTTTTTTTTTTTTTTTTTTTTTTTGCTCAAATAAGTTAAAAAGCCTAAATCAATCTACTGATTATGTAGCTATCATGGGGACCCCACTGGATCTCTATAATTAAAGATTCAATAATTGGACATTGTCTAGTTAAATTATTAGCATATGCATGCGATATTGAACTCTTATTAAACAGAGAAAATTGTCCAAAACCTATATATAAATTATACCGGTCAAAAATAAGGTTGTCTAGTTTTAATTTCACAAATCAGTTGATAATGATGATTTATTAAAATAATTAATATATGATAAATATGGAAACAATTTATATTTTTCTAATTAAACCTTCTTAAAATTCTTTCCATAACAATCGCCCCACTCATTCTCTCTCCTCAAGCTACATCACACCATTTCTGTTCTCTCTCTATGGTTCTTTCATTTATTGTGTCAGAGAAAAACGTCAATTTTATGAATTTTTCTGCTCTGCTGCCTAGCCAATGGGAAAGAACCATCACCAATTCCAACCCCACCATTTTGCCAAGAGCTCTACCCCAAATTTGTCTAGGAGAGCAATTGGTAGTTTTATTCACCGCTAATTAAAGCAAGATTCGAAAATTTGGTAAATGATTTTGCTCTTGTTACAAACGAAAATAGTAAATGTGGTTGGTTTTATTATTGACTGGTTATTTGGTTTACCCATTTATTTAAAGCATCCATGATTTTGACCTTTTTCTACAAGCGCAACAGAAAAATGTGGGCTAAGGATGTCGAGTTTAAAGATCAAAATGTGTTTGGGATGGATCTAGAGACTAGAGAGAGAGAGAGAGAGAGAGAGGGGGTCCACACGTTACAGACATATATGTTTGGGGGCCATTAATTATGGAGAATGCATTTCCATGTCAAATCAAGAGGGTCCACACGCTGCACATATTTTCTTGGTATTTTCCTCGTTTTACTTAAAGGTTGAATCCCAATCTTGAGAGTCTCTATCGCCTCGTCTCTAGAGCTTTGTGAGGGAGGTAAATCGTGCAATGTGCCCCAACAGGTCAGGGAACAAAAGTTGCTTGTACATTGCTACTACAAGGAGTCCAATTCCATGTCTCAGGAATCGAACCCTCATACTGTGACTACCAGCAAGGCGTGAGATAACTTCACTCCTATCCTTTACACCACTAGTTGCGAGTGTTAGGGGCAACACAAGGGAAAGCCAAAAGTCAAAAGAATTTTTTTAACAGGCTATAGTCATTTCTTTGCCAGAAACAGTAGAAATTGAATGCAAAAAATTACTGTACAACAATCCGAAATTGTCTTAAAATAGGTCTAAAATGGGCTGCAAACAGAGGTTTAATAATATTATTGTTAATATTAAAAAATTGAATTATGACATGATTTTTGAATAAATAAGTTTAAACCTAATTATTGAATGTGAAAGTTGAAAACCATGGGTTCACATAAATTTTTGTTTTATGATTTTTTTCCTTTATATAGTTTATTGATTTACTTCTATTATTATTATTATTTTTTTTTTTTTTTAAAAAGGCCTACAGAAATCACTTATTACGCCCATGTACCGCATGGTGTGAACATTGGAATATTCCCTCATTTGAACTCTGCTTTTCTTTAATTCCACTTTAATACAATCATCGTTGTCTCCAATTGTCGGCAATTTTATATTAAAATTCTATAATTATTAATCCTATGAGAAACCGTGAATTCAATATTTAGTTGTTTAGAGTTTGTGATGAAGATTGGACTTTTGTTATAATTGCCCCTGTTTGGCCCCATTTTATAAAAATGAAAATAAGTGGAATAATTTATTTTTTGAAAAATGAGTGGTTAAAAAAGAACGAAAAAATTTTGATTTACATGTAATATTATTTTATGGAAGATTATGTAGTTGAAAATAAGAGAGAAAAATAAAATATATTGGAATGAAAATTAATGGAGACCAAACGGGGCATAATATATTTTCTGGAGTAGAATACAATCATACTCACAGATTCCCCTGCAATTTGTCCATCCCCCGTGTTTTCCATAAAGAGACACTGTTTCATACAAAGAAATTGAAAGAAACCTCAAAATCTGAAGAAAATGTGGAAAGTGAGGAAGAAAGATGCTTTCCTCTCGAAAATATCTCGGTGAAATTCTGGAAGATGGAAAATACAGTAAACTCATCGAAAATTCACTCGAAGGAGATGAAAAATTTGAAACATTTGTTGGACAGGGAAAATTTGTTCCAATCACCATTGCGTATATGGATAAACTATGCTTCCGTTATGACGGAGAAACCGATTTACTAGATGATCTCGAGAATACAGCAATCCGTTGCAAGGTTTTTAGGGAACCTCAAGCATACAGAAAGTTCTTTATGTTACTGATGTCACTTGTGCAAGATCAAACTAGTCAGTCCGGTTCGATTTTAGCAATTGTGCTTACAATTAATATATCAATATTTTATTCTCTACACTTAAGAGATGTAGTCAACCAAAATTTCAAGACTTTGTAAGATTCTATTGAAATCTCGAGGTATGGAATCAAGACTTCATAAAAACTTCAAAAGTCAAGGAGTATTCAAATTCAATATTATAAAATTCTTCCTGTACTAACTTTTAAGTATACTGTATACAAGTACAAAATTTCAGAAAAAGTCTCTTCCCCCGCCGCCCCCTCAAATATTTTGAAATACTTTCACAAAAAATGAAATAAAGTATCATCTTTTTCTTTCCACTTTCATTTTACGAACCATATAGCCATTATATAAAATATAAATATTTCTTTCCTATTCGACCTATTATTATTCTTCTTCTTTTAAAAGATTATCATTTCCCTTTTCTTCTATCTTATTTTTCATCATTTTCTCTTTTTTTTTTCTATGATCAATATGTAGATAAGAATTCTTATAAGATTATTCTCTCAATTCTTCTTCTTCTTCTTTTTCCCCATCTCTTCCAATTTTTTTTTATGGAAAGGACCATATTTAATTAAAATTTATTTAAAAAAAGAATAACTTGTAGTCAGATTTTATATATTTTTTGCTTTTTAAATTTATTATCTCGTATTTGGACATATTGATAGTCTAGAACACTAAAAATTTTATTTTGCTAAATCAAAGCTTTATAAAAATATTTCTATTGCCGTTAGAAATAAAATTTTATTGCTATGTATTATGGATCATTTGATGATAAGTAGCAGTTGAAAATGTTATTACAATGTATTATGGCCCGACCAGTTGAATCAAGACCAAAATTGGTCGAATTATGCTTATAAAGCTTCTAATTAAAAACCTACCTCAAAACCAGTTAAATCGACTGGTCTTTGGAAAACTCGTGACCCACTTCCTTCTTTAATCGGTTCAACCTATGTAAATGTATATTTTTAAAAAAAATAATAAAAAATTCTTAAATGTTTAAATATCTTTTAAATTTTTGTAATTGTAAGTATATTTTTAATTTTTTAAAAATCACTATTTCGATTCCGGTTTGACCTTCTGACTTTGACCCTTTCTCTTTTTCGGGTTGATAGCTAGGTCGATTTTTAAAATAGTGGTAAAAACATATATTATAATTTTCTTTAAAATTTTTAAACTATGGTCAAAATAAAATTTTTTTGGTGACTAAATATGTAATTGCAACCTTTTGTGACAGACAAATAAGATTTGAAAAATTAATTTGACAATTTATGATTGATAAATAACTTGTGACCAATTATTTTGTTAATTTATGGCCGTAAAATAAATTGTGACCTATAAAATTTATGCTTTTGTGATAAAAAAAAATAACTTGTGATCAATTAATTGATAATTTGTGATATAAAATAAGTTGTGAGCTATAAATTTCCCGATTTGTGACTGAGAATACGTCATGACCAATTAATTTGATAATTTATAACCGTGATAAGTTGTGACCCAAACATTTTGTAATTTGCAATCGAGAAATAAGTTTTGTGATTGTATGTGATCAAGTATGTGTTAAAAAGTGATTTGTTTAAGAAGACATATGTTAATTATGAATACTTGTAACAAAACTTGGTTACATTTAAAGTTTATGAGTGTCTGTCTATATGTTAACTATGACCTTTTATGACCATGTCTATGTTAATTGTGATCGATTGTGACCAACTATGTTTTCATTCTAATAGTCTGTGATCAGATTTGTCTTAAATGTGATCAAATTAATAGTGACTCACATACCATCATAGTTAAGACAAACATGATCACAAAATGTCATAATGAAGACAAACTTGGTCACAAATAACACAATCTTGGTCACAAATAATGTAACTTATGGCCCGTTTAACATGGCTTTTGAAAAGCCAAACGGAGCATTTGAGACCCAAAAGTTAATTTTGAACCCGTTTAGTTAATTTTGTTAAAATGATTTTGTAGTGAAATGAGCCTTTTGAGAAAGTTGGATCAATATGGTTTTCTTTAAAAGCACTTCTTAAATGGAAAGTGCTTTTATATATTAGTTTTCAAACAAAAATTACGGTAGTTTCCTTTAAAAGTTTTTCTACAAGAAGCAAAAGAAAAAGTTACGCCAAATATATCGTTACATAGACATGGCTACAAATAATAACAGCTTACACAGATCTAATCACAAACAGTCACTGTTAAACAGTCAGTGTTCTTCAAGAGCAACTATGCTGACAGGTACAACCCTCTCATGTATTGGCTTAAACAATGTCTATGGATACAAAACACACAATACACAAATTGGTGTGTGTCCCGTTTATAAGCAATAATGCTACTAAAGAACCTTATCCCTAGTACTATGATCCATGCTCATTTTGGTATTGCACAGATAGGAGCATCTCCAAAAAATTCTTTAAACATGATATGCTCTCTATTTTAAAGAGTCAACCCTTAAAATTATGTTTCAAGATATTTTTTTAAATTAACATTTTAATTTAGAGAGTATGTTTGGCTCTCTCCAAACTCACTCTTTATAATTAAATGTATTCGAAGTATTTTAATTCTCAATATAGGAAAATAATAAAATATTCTAGAGAAAAACTAGTTAAAATAAAATATTGTGCTTATGAACACCCTTATATACACATATTATGTAAACCAAGATTTATTCTAAAATAAAAGATAGAGAAAAATAATAAATATTTTGGGAGTAATAAAATCAAGTGTTAAATATAAAGAGATTGTTGGAATATCTCATTATTTTAACTCTCTTGTTATAAAAGTGAAGAAAAGAGAAGAGAAAAGAGAGAAGTGAATAGACTTGTGTGTCATTTATTATGAACCAAAGCTCTGTATTTATAGCACAGAATCAATGATGCAACAGTAATTATTTTTAGGGCTGTAGGGGTGTAACTGTCATTCACCTCTAAACTCTAATAAACTTTTCTTTTACAACACTCTCCCTTGAATGAGATATTACAAAATATCAGCTTCTCATCAGATATAAAAGAAGTTATGCATCAGTATTACCTTCTTGCATCGTCTCAATATAATATCTATTACAGCGGATATCTTTAAAACTAAGCAAATTTCTTCTGGATTTGCTAGAATAAAGTGTATCGTCAATATATAATTTTGTATTATTTGGTAAAATAATACAAGTTCTTCCAGAGTCTTCAATGATATTCACGCACCTGACATTATATTGACATTATTTTCTTTCAATGCTAAGTCCATGAATTATATTTTGTCTTGAAGAACAGTACGTATAATTGCACTATCAATCAAGCAGGTGTCTTGACAATCCATCATAAATATATCAATATAACAAAATAGATATATTTAAAAAAACTTGAATTTAAATTTAAATGATAAGCATAATTAATACTGTGAAATTAACAATGCATAATAAAGTTTAAAATTTTTGCAAAAAGTAAAAACATATTTCAAACTAAATTTCTAAAATAAAGAAAAATACTAGAAATATATATTTAAAAAAAAAAACTAACATCACACTTCTCCCAATCAAATGGTCAATATTCCCATTTGGATAAGTAAATAAATCGGAAACATCGAAGTGAATCACATCAATTAGACCATCATAATCAGCAAAATTTGTAACCACTTTTCCCTTTCATTGATTGATTTTTTATAGAAATCCATAAGGTGTTTTGCCGTACGACAGGTACGTGTCGAATACCCTTTCATTTCACATCTAAAGCAACTTTCTTCGTGTATCCTTTTAGGTGTGCTACTTTCGTTTACTTTGTACTTTTTGAAATTGTTGTCTTGCTGTTAATAACTTTGTTGATTATTTCATCCATGGTTTACTCCGCGTCCACGTCCACGTCCACGTCCACGTCCACGTCCAAGTCCAAATCCATGTCAACGTCTGCATTCACATCCACGTTCACGTCCATGTCCATGTCCATGTCTTGATATTGTATTTGCTTCAAACAATGCAATACTATTTGCTTCAGGCAATGGTACAGAACCGACTGGACGTAACCCATGATTTTTCATCAATAGCTCATTATTTTGTTCAGCAACAAGCAAACAAGATATAAGTCCTGAGTACTTTTTGAAACCACACTCGTGATATTACTGCTGCAGGAACACTTTATCAGTTATTTTTTCTCCACATAATATCAATTTTGAACATATTCGAAATAGTTCAAAATTGTACTCATTAATAGTTCCAAAGTCTTGCAAACGAAAGTGCATCCACTCATAGCGGGCTTCGGGGGAGGACTATAGTCCATTGATGATCAAATCTTTCAGTTATCTTTTTCCAAAAGACCTGTGGATCTTTCTTAATGAGATATTCAATTTTTAGTCCATCGTGAAGATAACGACGAAGGAAGATGAGTGTTTTTGCATGATCCTGCAGAAATTTTTTATTTCCTTTTTTTATTGTCTCTCTAAAATCTTTTGAGACAAGATGGACATCAGTATCAAGTACTGATGATAAATAAATTTTGCCAGAGATGTGAAATGCAACAAACTCAAGTTTTGTGATATTTGTCATTTGATTAGCTACACAATAAAGCAAGAGAAAATATAATTAGTTTCGAAGAATATGATTAAACATCATGTAATAATTAATCAAGTAGTTAACATGACATAAGCTACGTGTTTTTCTTCAGGGACAAATACTAAAATAATATATTCTTAGAAACATATGCTATTTCAGGAGCACGTATTTTATTATTATTTTTTCAAGATCAATACGTCAATATTCTTCTGGAATATTGAAAAATATAATTTATGCCTTTCAGAAGCAAATAATATTTTTCAAGAATATTAATTATAATATTGTACTACTTCAGGAGCATCAACAAACTATTTATAATAAACCGATCTTTGATTAATATTCTTTTGGAATATTAATTATAATGTTATGCTACTTCAAGAGCAACATGATAAATTAATATAATAGAGCATCAAAAAATATTTAACTAGGCTAAAGACAAAAAAGAATATTTAATAATCATTATAAATATGAATTTATTTGATTTCATCATTTATTAATATAAACATGATACATTTACACTTATAGTTAATTAAATATTGACTTTGAATCTATTATGTTGGTTAATACAAACATTTGCATGATTATATGGTTTCAAATTTATTTAAAATTTAAACAATTACACTCAACAAATAAAAACCATACATGAACAATACATCATTACACATAAATTGAGGGCATGTGTTTCGGTACACAATTGGGCTGAAATTGACAATATAATTGCAAGAAAAAGAGTTAATTGTGGTGGCACAATTGCTTAGAAATTGACAACATTATTGCACAGAAATTGATAACACAAAAATCGTGATAATTATTAGTAAAAAACACTTATTAAAAATAGGAAGAAAAAAAGCAGTTGCCTTGTACCTAGAAAAAAATTCATACGTCACTACATTAATTTTGGTACATGTGATAGATAATTTTGTTTAAAAAAAATTACTACCTTCACTAAACTTTAAAGAATTAAGATTTAGTGCCGATAAAAGATAAGAGAATAGAGAGAAGTCAATATACTTGTGCGTCATTTATTATGAACCAAAGCCTTGTATTTATAGGATAGAATTAGGAATACAACAATAATTATTTCTAGGGCTATAGGAGTATAATTGTCATTCACCTCTAAACCCTAATAAACTTTTCTCTTACAACATCTCTAAATTTATAGATACTTTCTAAATAATAGAATATACTTTTTAAAAATAGAGAATCCTTTAATGATGCTTTAGTAGAAAAAGACTATATACCAATCTATTGATTATGTAGCTATCATGGGAACCCCATCGGACCTCTATAATTAAAACTCCAATAATTGGACATTGTCGAGTTTAATTATTAGTGTATGCCCATTCTATAAAGATGTGAGATTGAACTCTTATACTTAGCTAATGTTTTACCTTGTCAAAGATCCAATAATTAACATAGAGTTATATAACACCGCCTCGCTCGTCTATTTACTTGAAATCCTTAAGCTTAGACTTTCTTCAATAGTTTTGTAATAATAAATCCCTGACATAGATTTGTACATTACTAAATACTGAGATGAGGTCTAATTGTTAGATTGAAAATATTTAATTAAAATGATTTCTTTGATTCGTATTTCATAGCGACAAATTTGGACATGACTTCATTCATCTCGAGTTTGCAACACACCGATATATCAACCCATCATTGATGTCACACATTAGCACCTCAATATATTTCCTATTAGATGGAGAAATCCCAACTCTTTTATAATTATTAAGCTTATATTTTATAATTGTGTTATTGGAAATCTTTTAGATTATTTATTTTGTTATTTAGCCCCCCTTTCCCCGGTGGGGGGGGGGTGAGTTTTCACCCAAAAAATTAAATTTTTTTTATTGTTATTTCATTATTTCAGCCTTCATTCTTTATTTCTTTATTCACAGGTGCCCCCCACTTTTCTTCCTAACAGTAAAAAAAATCAATTCTAAAATCACTATCAAACATGCCCTTAATGTTAGAACACTGCAGTAAATTTCAAATCACAATATCCTCACAATTAATTTGCACAGTAATTTTCATTATTTTATTTCAGTAGCCCTAATCACCATAATGAAAACGATTTTCTTTCTACAGGGTTTTCATTTAGGTTCTTCATTTTTTGGCTTTAAGGGTGTTTGTCGCAAATTAGAATATTATTATAAACTCACTTAGGGACATTCAAACAATTACAAAGAGAGCACTCTCAAAGTTTATAATTTCTAGTTCCATTTTTTTTTTTTTTTTAAATTTTTTAGAATATTATTATAAACTCACTTAGGGACATTCAAACAATTACAAAGAGAGCACTCTCAAAGTTTATAATTTCTAGTTCCATTTTTTTTTTTTTTTTAGATATTCAAGAATATTTAATAACATCTAGGGTGGAAAATATAATTATGGTTACTAGAAAGTGAAATATGTAAATTTGACCTCAAAAGTATACTGATAGAAGAAATTTCAAATCGAGAATGCCGTTGTAGATGGATTTGTTGTAATTGGTGTGGAGGGGAAGAGATTGCTCGAAAGAAATATTCTCTTGTTTTTCTTATGGTATTGTCAAATGAGTTATTGCCATTACAAGGAGACGTATAAAAGGTATGGCATAGAATTCGATGGCAAATCTTCTCGACTCCAAAGTGAACGATAAAGCGGTGAGATTGACACGGTTCTGGCCAGTTTCCTACTTGTTTGGGTGCTTTTTATATTATTTTTTTGGGGAATTTACAAAAATGTCACAAAAAATAAAAGTTTCAAAAAATTTGTCATTTTCACTTTTTGTGAGAGAAAATGTCACATTTCTGGAGTGCAAAGTCCAAATTACCCTTAATGATACATTTCTAGTAGCATTAAATGCTTGATTTGAAGAAAAAGCATTGACTTTGTGTGATCATTTAATTTCTATATAGAAAATATGGAGAAATGTATTTTTTATTGATTAATATGATTTTTTTTAATAAAAAATCACCAAAAAAATTTGAAAACGTAACATAAACAAGAGACCCTACATTTTCTCCATCTTCTTCATTTTCATTGATCAATAAGATATTTGTGTTGCATTCTTCATCCATTTTGAGAGGTTTGCAATTACAAATTATTTATATTTTACTTTTATAGCTTTTTATTTGTATATGTTAAATACAACATGGGTATATTTCTTTGAAATTTTTGAAAGTATTATGGATTCATTTGTTTGGTTTTGGAATCATTCACAAAATGGCATTATCACCATTAAGGTTTTGAGTAATTTCTTCCATTACCACCATTAAGTTCTCTTTAATGACAAGGCCCGGATGCCATTTACATTTTGTCATTTGGTAGCTGAATAATAATGACCACACTTAATGTGATGTGTTGAAGAAGCCTGAGAAATCCAATACCATCTGCTTCCTGATATTCTCGACAGTCGAGCTGTCGAGTTTGACATTTACAGACCGTTGGGTTAGACGTTTGAGATGTCGAACCCGACATTTACAAACTGTCGGGTTATACAATTTTACTTTCAATTCAGATATTTCAAAATGATGGAAACCCTTGATTTGACCTTTTGCTATTGTACTGATTTACGTATTATGCAGTGCGATTTTCATGCTAATAAATGCCAATTTATTCTTTCTGAATTCTTACCATTACGATCCCAACATTTCATGTATGAGTAATCATTTAAGATTCATCGTGTCGTATGGGGGAAATTTTGTTCATACGGATCACGAATGGAAGTAGAGATGGGACAAAACTACTTCCATTCTGGTGCCAATAATAATTACCGTAGCCGAACTTTTGTTAAGGTTGAAGGAGAAACTTGGTATTGTTGATCCTCGCGCTCAAATTGAATTGAAGTACTGCTATCTGCGTTACTATTTTGGAATCTGATCTCCCAAGTGTTGACATGAGAAGGGATGCAAATTTTCAAGATCCTTCATTTGCCGCAATGGATATTCTGCAAAACCTGGAGCATGATTTGGTGAATTAAATACATAGTGTCTCAAACAATAATGCACCTGAAACACATGAGTATGATAACAGGAATGCACCATTATATGAGAACTTGGATAACCCATCACCTAGTTTAAAGGATGCTAATTCTGTTGATGTCGACGACGAGCAGTCTTCGTCACATTCCAATGGTACGGATGGATATAAATTGATGAGAACTGTGAATACATCTGATCTTGTTGAAAAGGAAATATTCTTCAGCAAGAAAGAGTTGTGCTCGAAAATTCGTGCACTTGCTTTGAAAGACAAGTTTCAATTTCAACTGAGCGCATAAAGATGTTAACCTTTGTATGCGCCGACAGTAGCTGCAAGTGGATGTTACGTGCTTTTACTGTGAAGCAGTCTGCAACCTTTGTGATCTGTAAATTCAATAATGTTCACACATGTTCCATCGATTTTCGCAGTAATGCGCATCGACAAGCAACGAGTTCTATAATTGCTGACCACATTTTTGAAAAATTAGATAATCTAAACCAATCGTATGATCCGAGCACTATTGCACGTGACATGGAACGTGAGCTCGGTGTCCAAATAAGTTACAGCAAGGCGCGTAGGGGGACGGTGGCTGCTTTACACATGCTGCATGGGACATCAGATGACAGTTTTTAGAAACTATCTTCATACTATCACGTCCTAGGTGAGAATAACCTGGGGACATTAACCCACATCAAACTTAATTCGCACAATAGGTTCCATTATTTCTTCCTAGCTTTTGGTGCAAGTATTTGTGGTTATATGCAGTACTTGAGGCCCTTTTTTGCATTGATGGTAGTCACTTGAAAGGTCTATACAAGGGTACACTTTTATGGCAACTGCTCAAGATGCCAAAAAAAGATTTATCCCTTAGCGTGTGGGATCGTGGATTCCGAAACAAACAGATCTTGGATGTGGTTTATGTCTAACTTGAAAGATCTTATAAGCGACTCAAATAAACTTGTATTAGTTTCGGAGAGGAAAAGAACTATCGAAAGAGCTATTACTCACTTATTTTCTTTGTCTCATCATGGTTGTTGTATGTGGCATGTGGAAAAGAACCTAATCCAGCGGCACTTTAACGCAAGTTCAATATTCCTATTCAAACGAGCTGCTACAACTTATCGGGTTGAAGATTTCAAACGACTGATGGGGCAAATTTGTAGGGTCAGCGAAAGATGTTACGGGTATTTGGAGCAAGCCGATTTTTCATTCTAGTCACGAGCACTATTCGTGGGCAACCGATACAATATCATGATAAACAACAATGCAGAATCACTGAACTCAATGTTGAGACATGCTCGTTCATTTCCAATCACGTGCTTGGTGGAGCACATTCTTAAAACAATGCAGAAGTGGTTTTACGAACGTCGAACCAATGCAACCTCATGCAGTAGTATATTGTCTTCGAGGATGAGAATGAGTTACAGACAACATTTGAAGCTGGTACTAGGCTTCAAGCCCATGAGTTGTATCACAAGCCACTTGAACAAGCGTGATGTGTAAAAGTGGTTGTGAAATGTAATCTCCGAAAACGTAATTTAAATAAGCATTGTACCTTCCTAACTTATTTTCTGAATCTGTTGTTATTATCATATGCCAATACAAATTTGGTCGTTATGTTTCGCAAGCAAATTACCGATCATTACAGTTTCATTACCACAAACGAGATGAATACATTTTTCTTACTATAAATTTAGCTGATCATAGAAGTTCTATTAACTTCGACTGACAGTTTGTCGAAATGAGAAATTGATTTTCATGAGACCATAGTGAGCAAGAAAAACATCAGCATCACGTCCTGACAATTCACATGTCATTCTTGACAGACGGTCTCTGTAATTCTCGACAGTCAGGAACAATAGTAGCTTCCAAACCTACACTACTACGATTGCCTATTATGGATATGCCGTTTCTGCACGTACGTAGAGGAAGTGACCAAAATATCCATACCACAAAATACTATACATAATTTCCTACAAAATGACCATCCATTTATTGTACACTTACATTACTTTCGACAATTTAAGCATCTCCCCCCTTTCTCCATCAGACTCGTCTAAGTAAAAGACAATTACTTCTGGAGGTGGAACATGAGCCACCCACTCATCCGAGTCGGACGGTGATTCGATTGGACCCTTACTTTGAAGACTCGATCGAGAACGCTGTTCGGTGACTTAAGATTCTGCACTTGACACTTCATCGAACTCGGCACCATAGTGCTGAACTCTTACCTCCTCATCGTTTGACAATTAAACGATGGGAAATTCAGCGGATGAACCCAGTATCGACGGATACATATTGGAGTTGAATGTTTCATTGCTGGAGGTGGATGAACCCATTATCTCTTATCAACTACCTGTTTTAAAACGAGAATCTCACAACATATGGAATAATATCTAAAAAATGTAATTTGATAGATAATGCTTGTGATGCCTTCAATATGTAAGTCTACTTGTATTAGAAGGACTTGTTACTTGCAAAAAATGATAAACTTATAATATCTACAATAACATATTAAGCTAAGACACTTGTATTGGACAATCCAACCATTTCCAATTTTCGAAAAGAGAGAAACTTATGAAATTGAATGGCCCGCCTAGTTGAATTGTCGGTCCCGACAGATGTTTTATTCATTCTTGACAGTTGACAAAAATGTACATTGCACTAAAGATCGTGTAACTTCGAGTTTGGTAAACTGCAAAATAAATGAAGAAGAATAATTTGAAGTAGCTATTTTTTACCACAATTCTGCTCAACTACGTTGAAAGTGTCACAATGCTCTTCAGGTAAGTTCAAAGTGGAACAATACCTTGGCTGCAAAATTGCTTGTAGGCAACAATGATCTCATGGTATTTATAATCATCCTGAAAGGAGGAATCAATTACTTCATTATCTACCCAACCACCAAATCCAATCTCTCAGTAAATTTGAAAAGCAATTGGTGTGATGGTTGAATATAATAAATGTACAATTATCCTCCATTGTACCATAATTACTATGACATTGGCAGTGACTTGAATACTTCAATGATGTGTAAGATTGATGTTATTTGGTTTCTTGCAACAAATTACTTCTCATTTGCCAGCTTGTTAGTTGCACCATAGTTGTAATACTACAGTTCTCACAAACCAAGCTCATCATCTTAACCCACATAAGAACATACCAGTGACAAGGAAATATACATAAACTCATTTGTGAATTAGTTACCATGGTAATCATGACTTTAGTCATTTTAATGGGTCCTCATTTTAATCCAATCTATAGTTTACGAAGGCACTACGACATTCAATCCCGCCATTTACTCTTAAATGGATATTCGTAAAATGTACACATACATAAATTTTTGCTCAATATAATGTACCAGCGTTGACAAAAATCGAACCAAGACACGAAGTACCATAAGTACGATTCACATAACATAGTAAAGTCGGATAACTTATGCAGTTTGTAACACTACAACAATGTCAGCAAAGGTAAATAGTGACACAACATTCACCACGGGAGTTGCAAAATGTGAGGAATGCGTCAAAGTGTCACCACGCTTGCCAATTAGCTTGGGTGATATGTAAATTACAGAAATGAATTAAAAGGCTACAAATATCTAGGCAATTAATATATATCCTTCACCACCTAAATCAAGTCAAAAAAATTGCAAAAGCATGTTCAACCACATCGTCAAGCTACATTCGACAATTCATCCACAGTTAATTCTATTTTCGCTTCGAGCTTGCCCTCGTGTATGGAGTCCTGGTAGCAGGTGTCGAATGTCGCAGCCGTGCCGATTATCATCTCGTTATGGTAACTCCCCCTCCCACTCGGACTACAGTGGCAGGAACTGGGAAAGTTGCAAAATAAGCAAATGGCAAGAAAAATAAGTCAGTTCTCGATAAACGATGGAATACCATGCACTTCATCGATTCCAACGGGCACTGACCCGGGGTCATTATCGGGGCATGGCTCACTGTCTGCTGTGTCCGTCGAAAACAATGATGAAAGATTTTGAGTGTACTACTTCTAGGAATTTTCAAAATATGCCAAGTATATGAATTAACAATGTTCAAGTTTTCCTCATAAATGACCGACATACCTTGCAGATGTTCGATTTCAGTAGGCAGCATGTCCTGCTCTTCATCACGGTCACCAGGGAATGCCCCCTTCGGCTACAACAAATGAGCAATTGCAAAGTAAGCGGATGCTTGAAATAATATTTCTTCACTTCATGCTAAATGTTGCACTACCTTGCACTTCTTCGATTCTAGTGGGCACCGACACGAGGTGATCGTCCGGGCATAGATGAATGTGTGCTATGTCTATTCAAAACAACAATGAAACAGTGAGTGGAAAATAAATTTTGCCAATTTTCAAAACATGCGAAGCACATGAAATAATAATTCTCCAATTTGCTCATAAATAACCCACGTGCCTTGCAAACTTTCGATTCCAGTGGGCAATGGCAGGTCTTGCTCGTCCGGGCATGGCTCCATGTGTTCTTTAATAATGCACATACCGTCTTCCTCTTGCCTGTCAATCCCTATATCTTTGTCAGGACCGTCAGGCAATGGGTGGTGGCCTACATAGTCTGCAAAGTCTCCGTAGTGTGCAATGAATGAACAATTGTCATACAAAACTTGTCAATGTGTGCAGGGTTAAAGTGAACATTGTCATAAAGAAATGTAGCATGCATTTGGTGAAGTACCCGGTCGTCTGGGCTCGGGGTCCACATCAGTCGCACGTGCAGTGTTGTAGAGCCGGATGCGGGGACGACGGTGGATATGATGTCCTTCAATTTTTTTAATTCGTCGGATAAGTATAGCATGATTTCGAACTTCACGGTGCGGAGCTGCATTTCCATGAGAATTCTTTGATCCAGCAACATACCCTGAATATCGTCTGTTGTGAGGCTCTATCCGTTCGTTGCAGTTGGTCGGGCATAAGAGGTGGATGGTGCCTACATGGCAGAAGTAGCTCTATGCACGTAGGGGGTGGAAATTGTCCCCGTCTGCCCACTTTGTTGAACTCGGTCACCGTCACTATCCCCACTGTCATGGTCCTCCGAGTCCTTACCTTCAGCCATTCCGCTGTCATCGGCTTCTGACTCGTCCTCCTCGCCGCTGGTCCCACTACCTTCATGGGCCTCATCAGTTGTCTCATCCTCGAAGGTACTTTCTTCGGGTGTGTCTAAACGCTCTGCGTGGAACTGTGGAGCAATACTGTCCCTGGCAAGGTAGTCCAACACAGGGACAGGACGATCATTAAACGACACAAGAGTGGCGATATGAGGTTGTCCACGTTCGGCTTTGGTGGGTTTTAGCGTCGCAAACATAGGTAGCTGCAACATACGTATTTGTTAGGAATTCACCACAAGCTACAATGATGAATGGAACGAATGAGAACGTAGAACTAATATAAAATTTTATCTGTACATTCTTGAAGAAAACGTCGTACGTACGCTGCTGTGGCTGCTTTGTTGATGTCTAGTCGAGCAGCCGTGGGAAACGTTCACCAAGACGTCGATCGAACTTTCGAGCACTGCCTCGAATGCCCATATCTATTACAGCAGAAAAATAATGTAAGTTCACGATGAAACTAACCACTACATACATTTGTATTGAAATAATGAATACGTCAAATAAAGGTACATGTACGGCAATGGGAAAGCCGTGGATCGTATAGCTGACCGCCTTCTCCTTCTTTTTCGTCACATCCAAAAATTTCCTTGCCCAAGGGCCTCGAAAGCCCCTTATCAGACGTCCATATGAGATTCTACCCAAAGGATACGAAAATAACAAGTCCAAATTGTCGACGATCGATAACGTCTCCATATCGATAACGTCTCCATATCGATACCAACGTTGTTATTCGGAGCATTGAAGACTTCTTCGATGATCAAGGCGAGTCCGAGCTTGTACCCATCGACTCGGGGCGTTGACGATCGGAGAAATGTCTGCTCCAATTGGGTGCACGAAATCTTGTCCCCATGTTTAAAGTATTTTTCCTTTAGTCTCCTCTTGTCAAGAAAGAACTCATTCCATAACGTTGTCATCCAGGAGAAGACCACACCTTAATCTCATCACGAGGGCATACTCTTGGATGCCGAACCTGGCAAGGTGGCCTTGCAAGTTGAACCATAGTTTGTGCCACTTATTTGTTCGTATGCAACAGAATATCAGTTGTTGGATTAATTGGACAGAGAACTGGAGATCCGAAATCTTCGACACGAACCCAAGGCATAAGTTGCAGAAGTCTTCCCACTGTCGCTCGTCAAAATGTTCAATGACTGTTTTTACATAATATAGATTACTTCTCTGTGATATGTGGCCCCGTAGGTGTGCATTCTCTGGAACAAGAGGCTCAAAATCCGCTTCTGCGAAGAAAGAATAAGAAATGAATGCGTCAGACTAGAATATAAACTTTCTTGCAGCATATACACCAAAAACCACGAGTATGTTATGAAATGTCATTCAACAGTTCCTCCCGAATACAACAAGTACCAGACACAACCTCAATTTGTGCAAGTGAAAGTAAGGTTATGACACACGTAACATAAACATTGAAATAGAAGATATGGCCACATCAATCAAGAATTCCACCAAATGTATACGACTGTCACCCATATTACTTCAAGTCACTGGAAATTGGATACTGCATTTTGGTTAGAATCTTCATAATGGTTTTCAAACAATCAATAAAATAGCCCTAATTCAGGCCACTTCACTTCAGACATTATTGAATGCAAAAAAAGAAAAAAGAAAAAAAGGAGGAATACTGAAATCTGAATGTACATGACATAGGAATTACATTTTTTACTGGTAGGGCAGGGCTAGGCAGGCAGGAACTGAACTATCGATCCCGACATTTTATCCATCTACAGGTTCATCTGTCGAGAATGACTGAGTCTAATTGTCGGGAACAAAACATGAAATCCACAAGGATATTGTCAAGTGTCTATCGAGAGTTCCAACCGAATGCAGCGAGTATCACCCACAACAGATGGATTGCAAGTGAAATCAAGATTTTGTCCACATTACACAAGTAACATAAATGTTTGAACAGAAGATATGAGTGTCAATCAAAATCTTTACCAAATGCATACAAGTACCAGGCATATAACTTCAAGTCACGCTTTAAGAATGTACTTTTGTGAGATTGAAATAAGAACTGAACTTTAATTTTTCATCTCAAAATTTTCAACCCAAACGAATTATAGATGCAAAAGCTAAGTAATTTATCGATTCTAAAACACTTCCAAATTTTAAATGATGAACATAATAGTGGTTTAGGGTCATAAATTTGATTGAGAGCATATCTATTTAGTAGAGTATGAATAACACTCCACTCATTCAAGTACTATACCTTGGTCATGTCATCCAGTCCTCCATGTTCAATTTATTTGTATCTCGCAAATGCAATTTATCCACTATATTGTTCACAGTGGAAAGCCCAACAAATGACATCTAGTGAAATAAAATGATTTTTACTTCATACTATTCAATAAGTTTGATCAACATTCATATGTGCACTACATTTTTCGAAATGAACGTGTTTAACTGAAAAGTCGAGGAGCGTCCAAGAATTAATTAAGAATCATAAAACCATACATCAACAGTAAAGTAAACATTTTATGTTCTTTTTCAGTTTTTCCTTTTTTCTTTTCCTGTTACACCTGTTTAAATTGCCCTGTCGGACTACCCTTATCAATTTAAGCATTTCTATTATTTATACAAAAGGAATCTAACATGACGATCGAAACAAAAATGTAACTTTAAAGAAATTCTTCCAGCTACTTTACGATTTTCTTTAGGAAAATTTACCTGTATTTGCTTTCTAACGGACCTTGAAAACTTAGCCAAATCCACCTTCACCTAGCAAGCACTCTGGCCTAAAGTTTTTTGTAGTAGCTGGAACTTCATGAATTGTAAATGTTTGTGCAACAGTGTTTGCTGTTGGTTATTTTGGAATCATTGCTTCCTTCTTCGAATCATTGCTACTATGAGGTTTTGATTTATCTGGGAAATGTAGAGCAAACGCGGAAAGGTTAAGAGGATGGAATATAGAACAAAAAGAAAATTACTGAACATGAAACTATTGAAGAACAATAAACTTGAAAATAAATCCATTCTTGTGGACAAACAAAATCCCTACACAAATTTAGGACCATCCCCTCCTACATATCCACACAAGACCGGAGTAGGGCTAATATTACTTAGAAAAGTAATTTGAATTGATTCTACAACTCAAACCATACATGGCAATGATATCTAGTTGTAAACTTTTTATCGTTGTTTTATTTTGTCGAGCATGCCTCAAAGATAACATAAAAATCAAAGCATGACATGTCATTTCTGTATGATATCTACTTCACTTACAAATGCAAAAATCAAGAAACACGAAATAACCCTTATTCTAAATACTTTTGTGGTCTACTACTTAAATCGTTTGTCATAACTCCATTCCGTTTCGCCATATCTACTAGAAGACCTAATATAATTACAGAGAGCAGTACAAGCCTAAACAATGCAATTACACAAATGCAAAATTGAACATTCATATTTTCAGGCCGCCAACTAAAAATAAGTCAACTCCACTACTTTTTCCACTTCTGGATGGAAAATGTTCAAGTTCTTCGGACAAGAAATGATTGATACCATTTCATTTGGTACTCGTCGTATTCTATTAAAATTCACAGCAAGTAAATAAAAATTATACAAAAAAATTGTAGGATCTTGACCACAGGCAAATTCCTTAACCCCATCCCCAAAACCACAACCACTCCTAAAACAAGAAATATCACTATTTCTCTTTTATTACAAATCAAACTAAAATAAAGATGCAAGGACGACGAATGAAACCACCGTCACAACTGATGAATGGAAGGTTTGAGCTAGTAATAAGACATAATTTCTACATGATTTCTTTTATGTTGCTTTGGAATTGATAAGCTGAGGAAAAGTAGTTTATGTTGGAATAAATGGTTACTATTTATAGGTGTGAATTTCCATAATAAGTTGTCAATAGGTATATAGAAAGAGCCCATTTATGTTTATGTTTTGAATTTTCTTTATGTAATATGTATGTTAAATACAACAAACCACTGTAGTAATGTACAAAAGATAAATGGAACAATTGAGATACAGTCTGTATAACAAAATGATAAATTACCCTAATGTGAATGGAAAAAAAGGAAATATTGAACAAAAAACAAAGAGAGAGGAAGAGAGAGAAGCTTACAGTGACGGTAGTGGCAGAGGATGGAGGCTCGACATCGATGACTCGGTAGCAGCACGTACAACTCACAAGGCTAGACAAAGCTC